CTGATGGCTGAGGAAGTTTGCCTAGAAAAATGAAGGACATACCTGAACTAACTGGCCCCCGAACTGAAAATTGATAGTTAATGCGGCCCTCGGACTGAAAAGTTTGGAGACCCCTGATATACACCATAGCTGCCATCTGGGTCTCTACTCAGAATATGTAACCAATTACTCCATATTTGGGAACATGGGCTACTGGTCTACCAACAAATGAACAGCATCTACCAGCAGCAGCCCCTTGCACCTCCATTAACCACAGCCCAGGTTTTACTTGCGTTTCGAACTTGATGTCAATGACCTTTTATCCCACACGTTCTACTAACCCACTGTGTACTAGCTGGCCACATCCGCTTGTCCGATTGTTTTAGGTCACGTGAATGACTTGTCATAAGGGTACGTTTCTGCGGTTACATCTTTTTTTTTAAAATTAAACTAAATGAAAAAAAAAATCAAATAGTTATGCTGGTTATCTCGAATGTCGCAGTAAATATTTTATAAATTAACATCACATTTATTTGTAAGACAATCATGTCGTATTTGATGAAAAAACCAGGCTTAGCCTAAATTCAAAGATTATCACATTAAATTATTGTTTTACTAAATTGTAAAAATTATACAACACACACCTTTACTAAAACAAAATATCATTTTTTGAGAAAGCGTACCCAAAATAACATCATGTCATATCCGGCAACTGCTGTCAGATTTAATATAGCAATCTTCGTATTGGTAGCTTCCCTTGCATAAATTATTGTTACGGTTTTCAGCTTAACAATATATGACTAAGTTTTAAGTGTTGAAGGAAGAGGTGGGAAGATGAATATAGTAAAGTTTAACTCAAATAATTCAGTATTTTTTTTTTGTCGTTGTGACTTCTATGACGTCCGCTCTGATCCAAAGAACATGAGACCGTAATCAGAGCCGCACACTCCCCTATCCTACCCAGTGGCGTAGGCAGGGGGGGTTCGGGGGGGTCATAACCCCCTTATAGACCCCTCGGTATATATAAAAAGTATGAGGGGATGCACATCGAAAATTTATCCCCGGGTAAAAATTGGAACCCCCCCCCCCCCCCTTGAGACGATCCTGGCTACGCCACTGGCCCTACCCTACCACTGCACACTGTCTTATCTTGTATTCGTGTAATCAACACGTCGAACACACACACATCCAGTTCACATTTTTAACGTTCTAATTTCCAGAACAAATCCAGGTTTTTCTTATCGGTCGTATTTGAACGACGTCGTTCATACACAAGCTCCTTACAAACTACAATTTAGCATAATTGCAAATATTATAACATTGATTCTTAAAATATAAAATTTCTTAATTTTATTTTTAACTGTTAAAAAAAAAAAATTCTAACGGCGACTCAAAATACATTGATAAACATGATTTTTATCCATGCCGATAGAAATGGCCTCTCATTCAACATGGGTGATAGCATTAGAAAATCTCTAGAACTTGACTAAACACACATCTGAGGACATACGTTTTAATCAGGGCAATGATTGATTTACCTTGTTAAAAAGTACAACCGAATACATTTACAAGAAATTGAGTTCATGTGTATCTTGACATCGAAGAGATAATGTGATCAGCATTGTGCCCAGCCGCCTTTTCTTTCCAAGATCTTCCTCTGACTTGAACCCGGATTCGAACTCGAGACTTTTGGGATTGCAGTCTAGCGCTCTACCTCTAGGCCACGCCGACCAACGAAACTGATGGTTTTTAGGTTTAAATGTCGTGTTAAAATTTATCTTTTCAATGATACTCTGAGAAATGTGCACATTGTACACACTGTTAATTTGTTATTTAGATTGCTTGTTTTAGTGGAAATAATTCCGTTTAGACTTAAATAATGTATCTATTATCCCCCCCCCCCCAACACACTGCCCCAACAAATCACATTACAAAATCCAGCAATTGGAGCTGTCGATGTTGACTTAAAGCAGCTCATACACTCTATCATTCAAAGGCCGACAACTGTTATAAAATGCAAAAATTTGACAAGGGACACAATCAATCTAATTCCATTTTATTAATTTTTTTAATAACCAGTTCCAACTTAAAATACATTTCTCTTATAAATTAATTATTTTCAATTATATCTCTATTTCATTACTTTTCTTTAATAAATTCAAAATTGGAAATAAATAAACAACAACATAACGTCTTTAATTGTACTCAAATAAAAATGAGAAATTTAATTACGAAGACGTCGTTTTTATTTATCATGGTTGAGTTTGGCGGGCTGGAAGCCGGAGTCCCCCCTGCAGACGAGCCTGGGGCAGCAGTGGGGGTAGTAGGCCTCCCCGTCGGTGAGCAGGTAGCATCGGGACCTGTCGTGTCTCACGCTCATGGACCCACATCTGCGGGTAACATAGCAGCACAGCGGGGGTAAGATAACATGTACGAATCTATACAACAGTTTTGTTTTTCATAGACTTAATGACAGAGACTTAACACTAACCAAAACCTATACATAACTTGAAATTTTAGAAAATATAAACGTAAATCTGAACCTCAACTCAACGCTATTTATAGCATTGTACTTATATACAAAACGATTTTTATAAATGTAATAGATGTGGTATAATACTAACCTAAGCATGAGACTTACCTTAAATATAAACATAAATAAAAAATCTGAACGTAAACTCATATTCAGCAATTGCGTTGTACAAATTTATTCAACTTAAAAAAAATTAATTAATTTGCAGTGGTTTAACAGTGCCTTTAGCCTACGGCTTATTATAAATATTAGCGTAAATCTAAATCAAAACATAAATTTTAATCGTATTATTAGCTCTAGTTTCAGAACCAACCGTGTACATAAGCCAAAAGTTTAGTCAAGAACCAATGATTACACACGTAAACTAAAGCCTCACCCAGCGCAGGTGTATCCCTGCTCGTGACAGGTGCACTTGAAGCAGCCGTCCTGGTACCAGGTGTCACCCACCTGTCGGCTGTCAGGACAATCTGTGTTGGCAAAAATACAAAGTAAAACAAGTCAAGATTCCTCTTGAGACATAGAGATTCATTCGGCAGCAGAAGCAAAGTTCACATGTTTCTTGATCTCGGTGTATGAAGGGATGGTTGTCTGCACTATGACCAGCCGCCTTTACTTTCCCCAACGTAAGTCAGGTACCCATCAGAGCTGGGTCGACTCAGGGACGTCTTACGTACTCGAAACTGGAGCCGAACCTGAGACTTGTAGGTCAACAGTCGTACGCCGCCCTATCGCCCGATCACGCAGTCTAACATAATAACAATAATTTCGCACATCTTATTAAATAATTCGCAGTCTTTAACTCGCAAAGGGGGGGGGGGGGGGGCTATTAAAGATAGAATAGAGGCGTAGCGTTATCGATGACATTTTCCAACAATGTGTAACGATGGGGAGGGGGTATAGATCATGTCAAAACTGTTATGCCGTTTGTGGATGACTCCTAATCACACACGATTAAAATCCATTAATTATCTTTACAAAATTATAAAAAACAAGCAACATACTATTGTTGAAATGACCACCGAACTTTTTAAATAAATAAAAACAGGCTAGCTTGATTTTGACGGTGGTGTTTACAATGGCGACAGTAAACACATATTGATCAAGCGAAATCTTTTTTTTTTCCTAGAAAATCTTATATTAAACATCAGTTTATCATTTTAAGAAGACTGATCAGCACTAACAGGAATTTTAAATTCAAAACATTTAAGACAAAATAGATGGAAGACCACACAATTAATTTAGCCACTTTTTCAAATTTCTAAAAAATTGAATTATTTCGTTGCAAGGCGTCCAGCCAGAAACTTTTTATTTAACCCAGTTTTCTTTTCTACTCACCAAAGCCGTGAAACAGAGCGCCCTCTGTCAGGGCCAAGAAAGCAAGTCCCACAACCGCGAAACAAAGTTTGGTCAACATCTTTGAAAAGATTGATGCAGTTCTAAAATATAAAGGCTGATAAAAGTAGAAGGAATTTATCGTATAGTTCAAATAAAAAAGCAATTTCAAAATAATATAATTTCATTTTTTTGCATTGGAATGAAAGGGGAATGAAATATTTGACTTTGAAAAATAGAAAGGTTATCAGAATTTTTTAATCAATCAACATTTAAAATTTAAAAAAAAGGATTATCATTAGAAGTAAAAAAAAAAGATTATTTTCGGACCAGGTTTTAAGATAGAAGATATAGAGTATATACAGCCATTATGTGGACGGGATTACATTCTGCCGCTTTTCCCAACTCAAGTCAGGTACCCATTAGAGCTGGGTAGACTCAACGATACTCTACTAACGAACCATAGAACGGACCTCTAGACTTTTGGAATAACAACGTAAAAACTTATAATTCTACACGCACTACGATTCAACTAAAATCCCAAACAAGAAATTAACAACCGAAAAACTCTTTCTAGTTTGTACTTACCTTTAGGTTAAACTAGAGAGTTAATTATAACAGAGCCTGACGACTGGAGTTATATAGCGCATAAAGATCAGACAATAATTAATCAAGTTTAATCAACAAAAGGATAATTAACCACACTTAGTGATTTATGTCACATCAGAAGACCCTCGCCACAAAACAAAAGTTATTTAATTAATCAGCATAACCCTTATTGTGTGAAATGTAATTTGAAACCATCTGCTGTTCAAGAGTACTTTCCCTTCTTTGTACCAAGCAGAATTATGGTTCTTGACATGCATACCCATTATTCTACTGAATCGGTCTAGACTAGCAGTGTTCCAAACATTTGTCACACTAACTTCCCTTGAAAAAACAAACAAGCCCCCACCCTTGTCGCCTCATTATGTGTACTATTTTACAATAATTTTTTGTTTATAGTATAACTAGACGTATTTACTTATATAACTCATGTTTAGTTTATGTTTACAAATGTAGTTTCAGCCACACATAAAGATTGTTTCCCCTTATGTAAACGACTCGGAGTTGTGGTTCGTGCACAATAGATGAAATGACTCCGTTCGGTTGTACTGTACTATCGTTTGTAGCAATGGCGTAGATTGGGGAAGGCGGGAGGGGCAGCAGCCCTGGGCGCCGACCTTAAGAGGGCTCAAAGTGGAGAAAAATTTAACTGTTTAACAGATTTAACTGTTCCGATTTTCTGTTCCAATTTTGTGGCACCGAAATAAAATATTCTCCGGGAAAGTAACTAGTAAAAAGCGCCACAAAGCTTACCAACTTGATTGGGGGGGGGGGGGGGCTTTTTCACAGACATGAATAACTATTTATAGAATTGGGAGGGAGGGGGCAAAATTTATAGTCCGCCCCGGGCGCCGGAATATTTCGCTATGCCTCTGCTTTGTAGTTTTTAAAATTCTATTATCCGATGCAGTCGTGTAGGGAGGGGACGGTCCATGTGACAGTAAAGTTCACCTGTTTCCTCGTAACGTGAGCCAGGTACCCATTAAAGCTGAGTGAACTCTCGAGGCAGGGATCCGAACTCGACAATTTTGGGTTAGCAAACGAGCGCTCTATTGTTCGACCACAACACCGCCCATACTCGACGACGACATAAACAGATAGAGCCCTAAGGTGACCTAATACATATTGTTTAATCAAGTTTATTTATTGATATTCGTTTTCGATCAAACAGTTACATTTTTTTTTAACTTTAAACAATTTTAAAAAATAGAACTATTGTTAAGGGGCTAAATCGTAACCAAAAAATGCTAAATAAACAAAAACCGAGGAACTATTTATGAGATAACATGTAGCTCTTCAGAAGAACACCACAGTGATTAATGAGCTATTAATGAGTAATACTGGTGGTAGTGGGGTAAAAGGTCATAGGCAGCAAATGCTGTGTACTTTTGTAAATATGTCCTTACTCTTGATGGTGCGGCGGCAGGGGGAGGGGGGGGGTGAAAAAAAAGGGGGGGGGGGAGAAAGTGGCGTTTATTATAAAAATACTATAGGGGATTCTTTTTTTGTATACCAATGGTAGACACTTCATCCTAAATGAGAGTGGAAATCGTGATTTTAATTTGGGCACTATTCTGTCAGACACAGCAAAAAGACGTGTGTAGATTATAAAGTTATATATAATTTTAGGTCGGTCTGTGTGGCAAAGTAGACCTCAGCATAGTAAAAGGCATTGTGATTCTCGCAGTCATGCCAGTTACCAATAAGAGCTGAGTGTGCTCACTGACGTACTTACCTTATGGCCAACCACCTACACAAGGCTCCCCAGCTGAGTTATATCATTCACAACCCTTGTTTATAATGCAACGGTAATTGGGCAGAAGATGCAGATACTCGAAATCAATATTATGCCACCTCGTGTGGCAAGATGTACACAACAGATGTCTGTGTCAAGTGCATGAGTCTCTCACTGTATCGTGATTTCCCTACTCCAGGGGTCGGCAACCTTTTGAGACGGAAGAGCCAAAAGTTACAATTGACAAAATCTCACAGTTTATAAAGAGCCACTAACATTTTATGTCAATATTATGTTATTTGATTAGAATTAGGTAAATGAATTTTAAAATAAATATTATTTCATACTTAAACCCATTTATTATATGCATGTTTCGCACAAAACATAATAAAGTTTTTTTAGCTAGTTCTGTTAGGATAAAAACAAATCAAATTATATAACTATACCACTATCCCTACCCAATTTAGAAGCTAATAACTAAAAAAACTATCTCACTCAAATCAACTTAATGCACACTGACTTAAAAAAAATGCCTTCTGAATAAAATAACAATTAGGCTACTATTGAAAATATTCGGGGGAAAAATGTGCACTTCGGTAGTTGAAAGCAAGGACCATGCCACGGGGCTGGCCTCAGCACAGTCGTGAAGCTGGTAAGCAGCAGTCAGCTGTCTGTATAAGCTCTACTCCACCTAGATCTATTCTTAATGCTTTTACCTTGTTTAAAGTTTTTACAGTATATTTTTTGAATTATGAAAAGAAAAGAATATAATTATTATGGCGAGCCGCATCCTGAGATCGAAAGAGCCGCATGCAGCTCGCGAGCCGCAGGTTGCCGACCCCTGTCCTAGCTGCAACAGTACTCAAGTTATTGTGTTCACAGTCAGACACACATACACACACACACAAACATACGGACAAAATTGCAAAACTAAATATTTCCGACTCAGGGAGGTGTAGAACGTCCAGATTTCGATTTTTCTGCACGATTACTATGCCTCCTGTATGCTTAGTATAAGAGTAAGTCATAAAGGGAAATAACTTATAAGTAAGTTTGCAATAATGGTTTACAATAGAAACAAAATCAAATTTATTAGAACTAATCGTTGTGTTTCATTTATACAAAACAAAGAAAAGCAATTAATGTTAATCTAATTTGTTTTATCTGTTTACTATATTGAAAATTTATTATTTGGCTCCAATTTAAATATAAAACCAGTATTATTTTAACCTTTGAATTTACACAGATTCAAAATGTTTTTCTTTAGTATTATAGTGGCATTGGTGGAGCATAGATTATTGTGTAAAGTAAATTATAAAAGTGCGAAAAGAAATGGGTGACAGCAAACAAATATCGTTTGCGCAGTTTCCCGTTTGCTCAATATTCGTCATTCAGGATGATCAGTGGTCGGCAACATTTTGGGACGGAAGAAATAACAGTTTTTCAAAGATCGTCAGCACTTCAAATGCTAACTTCTACACCTTACTGTAGCATCCTGCAAGACTATTCCATGCGTCACATAATAGGGCCTCAACTCGCGGCATTTCCTTTAGAGCTGTCCATTTGTACAGTGAAACGTGCATGTTTTACTGGACCTCCAAATCATCTAACTTGCTCTTGAGATCTGTGAACTTACCGCTCCACAAATGTTTGGTTTTCAAATCTAGCAAATTAATTTGAAGCGAACCAGCATCAATTCCAAATAGTTCAAAGTTAATCTCATTTGTTTTTGTGTTGAAAGAATCTACTATGAACGTCAGAGTACTTGCATTTCTTTTGAATTGCTCAAATCTCTCAGTGAACCCATCCTTCATTTAGTTTATAGTAATGATGAAGTGATTCATGTTAATAGTAGCGTTGGTTTTATCATGATGTTTTTTTCAGATTTTTCGAAATAAAGTAATTTACTGCTCTCCGTGCCTTCAACAAAATGAAGCAATTTTTTTGAAACAATCTTCTTCAAGCAATGTATAGGCTGGGTTTTCCTTTCCATGCGGTTTTACATTTAGCTCGTTATTTTCTTTGTGATCTCCACCATGAAGTTGAATGTTGCAATTAGGGATAGACAAGTTTATAGGAAGTACATTGAAATATGGCGTAACTAAATATTCTAATAGAATAGCGATTGTTTATTGTTTATGTTTATTATTTTATCGTTCATTACCGAGTGTTGCAGAACAATATTTTTGTGAGTTTTTAAAATAAAATAAAATAATTATTAATATTTGTGTATGGATCTGAAGAGCCGCATCTCGACACCAAAAGAGCCGCATGCGGCTCGCGAGCCGCAGGTTGCCGACCCCTGCTTTACTCTAATGGGCATACTTACCCAACTGACCAGCGTAATTTTAAAAACATGTAACATGGTTTAGTTGATACCGCCCCCCCCCCCCCCACCCCGAAATATAACTTCAATTCAAGTTTTTGTTTTGGATTGTTTATTATTTTATACAGACAACTTAAGGATACCTACAAATGGTTGCAACTTTCCCCCCCCCCCCCTCCCCGTTCCTGCTCTTCTCTACCATCCACATTTTACGTGTTATCTCCCTTTACTTGACCCCACTCGCCCTACTGACCCAGCCTGTACTAGCTGACCATGTCCACTTGTCCGGTTAAGTGTATCACGTGACAGGGTTGTTTTGACTCTGATGTTTTTATTGATATCGGCCATTCAGGCAGACACAAACAAAATCAAACCACATTTTGAAAAGCACACCTTTTTTTTTACAGCTAAACAAAATTTCGTGCCTAATTGGTAGGAAGTGCACATCAAACACATCTCAGTCTGTCGGTCTCAGTATGACTAGTAAAACCTTCATTGTATGTACTGTCCAATCTGGCAACTCATACAATGTAAACAACAAAGATCGGACAAACAAAACCCAAATAAAAGCGCTGCTGCAAAAATCAAAACCTTTTTTAATTATGCTACATTAATTAAATTAAACATAATGAAGCATTTTGTTCCAATCTTGTTTTGAAAAAACAATAAATCTGTATCAGTTTTGTGTCTGCTAATAAAACAATACATCATGTAACATTTCACGACACGCATTCATGGCCGTCAACTACTGTCAGATCAAGTAGAACGACATTTCTTTTGGTTACTTCCCTTTCTTCGAATTTTTTTTAAACCTCACCTTTTCATGCAACATAAGGCATTGAGTTCAAGATGGGGATGGAGGATAGAAAGAAACTGGTCAGGAGTAATTAGTTACAGAATAATAATAGTTAAAGTTCTCTTTTTCAAACCTGGCGGTTCATGGGGCAAGGGAATAGTGTGGTGAGCACTATACCCAACCGGCTATGCTTAGGTTGGTGGACTCAGTGAAGTTCCACTGACTTGAACCAAGATTCGAACTGGAGACGTTTTGTAAGCAGTCTAGCGTTCTACTGCTAGGCCACGCCGTTCCTTACAGTAATAGCTACAGAATTGAATGGTTTAGTTATCTCTTGTCGCGACGTCATCAAAGTCCTCACCGACCCCAAGTAGGCGAGCCCCCCCCCCCCCCCCAATCGCCGATGATGTCCAGCTACTGGACAGCTTCTTGCGATCAACAAGTCTAGCAGAACTCACCCATGTTGTAGATTTCCTTTATAACAGATCCGTGTTTTTACGCAGTCATCAAAACACCAGCCTTTCCCCCGACTTTTGAGTTTAAGGTGAAAAATTGAAGCCTTCCTATTGGTTTTTAACACATAACCTACATTTAAAATCAAATGAGTTTTCTCCCTTGACTGTGAATTTCAACAATTCAGTTTTTGCCACGCAAAAACAATAGGAATCCATCGTTTAAAATTTCAGAATGTAACCAATTATTTCGCATTAGGTATTACATTTGTCTAAAAGATCAGTCTAAAAAACATGAATTAAATTCAGTTATGATTAATTTAATCCATCCTTCTACTGTTTATACGCTAATGAATTAAGAAATATTAATTAACTTCAATGGGAATTAGGGAGAACTTCGGCGCTCTCTATTATTTTGACAATTATCAATTATTTTGTACTGAAACGTCGTAAAAAAGGCATAAATAAGGAAGGATCAAATAACAACTGCAACAACAACAAACAACTACAACAGCAGCAACAACAAAAGTAGACAAGAACATGTTATATCACGAAGCGTTTAATTCCTAAACCCAGAGAGCTGGTGTGAGACGCTTTCACTCTCCTATAGGGCTGTTTTGTTCACGGAGCCGGTTGGAGTCGAACCCGTCCTCTCCAAGACACTTGATGTCGCTGTCACAGCACATGGGGAACAGCACCTTTTTGTGGAAGTCGCGGTAACAGATGGTGGTGTTGTACTGCGTTTTACTCAGGGGACACCTGTGGTTGTGGTGGAGTGGGGGGGGGGGGGGGGGAGAGAGAAATCAATAACCAACAGTTTTATTTTAATCAGATAATTATGTTTGGATTATGTAGTTAACATGTGACTAATGCGATAATAACAGACGAAGAATTGTGTTAATGATTTATTTAACAGATGATGAATTGTGTTAATGATTTATTTAAGACGACGAACTGTGTTAATCATTTATTTAACAGACGGCTGATTGTGTTAATGATTTATTTAAGACGACGTACTGTTTTGATTATTTATTTAACATGTGACAAATTGTGTTAAAGATTTATTTAACAGATGACGAAGTATCTTTAGTCTTCAAAACAGCCTACCAATCGGCAATCTGGAGAACCTTAGCTACGGGGGTTGGTGGGAATGGGGGATGGGGGTGGATGTTGAATATTAAGCTCCTTATCCAATCCTGAGGAAATATGTGCATCATGCACGAACGTTGTTCTTTAGAACACGTCTGGGCGTGTATAATTTACACTTTTTTTTCTTAAACTCAGGCACAAGAACACGCTATAGTATACGGGCAGGTCGTTCCTATGCAGTGGCGTAGCGAGGTCGGGTGTTACCCGGTGCGGCACTTAATGGTGTCACCCCCCAGAGGCGTAGCGATCCCGGCGACAAACTTTCAAATTTTCGATTAGCACCCCACCCTCAAACTTTCGATTTGCACCCCACCCCCCCACCCCCCCCCCCCTCAAACTTTCGATTTGCACCCCCCCTCAAGTTTTTCTCTATATATTTTGCTATTTTTTGCCTTGGTGTCACCCCCCCCCCCCCAAATGGTTTCACCCCACCCCTCGCCACGCCTCTGTTCCTATGAACTAATAACTAGACCAAGATCTAAACCAAGACTTTAGACTCAACTCCTGCAGATAAGCCTGCTGTCAAGGCAATACTTATAAAACCAACTATACAAAAACTAGTCCAAAAACTAGATCAAGACTAGACTCACTTACTGCTGATAGGTCTGCTAACAAGACAAATCTTACAGAACACACTAGACCAAAATCTAGACCAAAATCTAGACCAAAAACTAGAACAAAAACTAGACCAAAATTAGACCAAAACTAGACCAAAAAAATAGACAAAAAATAGACCAAAAACTAGACCAAAAACTAGACCAAAACTGGACCAAAAGCTAGAACAAAAAATTGACCAAAAACTAGACCGAAAACTAGACTTTTACTCACCTCCTGCAGACAAACCTGCTGACAAGACACTCACACACGCTGCAGTTCTTTGGGTACCAGATGTCCTTCAACTTGAGTCGGTGAGGACATGGTCCTGGTGTATGACAACAACATGTTAGTCGAGGGAAGACTGTATTTTAGTCAGGTATAAAGTAAAATGTAAAGTTCCCTTATCAAACCTAACGGTCTATGGGGCAAGTGAAGTAGAGTTCACTTGTTTCTGTGACATCAGCATATGAAGAGATAGTGTAGTCAGCACTATGCCCAGCCGCCTTTACTTTCCCTAACTTGAGTAAGGTACCCATCAGAGTCGGGTGGACTCAGGGACGGTCTACTGACCGAACCTGGATTCTAACTCGAGACTTACGGGTTAGCAGTCCAGCTCTCTACCGCTAGACCACTCCGTCCATTAGGCAGGCAATTAAAATGTTCCACATTTTAATTTAAGGGACACTTTACTTTTTAAACTTAGGTATTAAAAATCCACATTTTAGTCTAGGAGAAACTTTGAAATCAGATTTTGAATATTTTACATTTTAGTCTAAGGGAGACTTAACTTTTAAAAGTTAGGTATTGAATATTTAACGTTTTAGGGGAAACTTTCCTTTTACCCAGGAATTGAATATTCTAAAATACTTAAACCACCTAAACTTATGTAATAGTAAGTAGACGTTAGCAATGTCTTACATGGAAACCACTAGATAATTCTAGTTCGCATTTTGACCATAGCTGTACATGGGGCAGAGGAAGTGGAGTATATATTGAAACTCCACCAGAACAATTCTTACCTGGAAACTCCACCAGAACAATTCTATCTTACCTGTAAACTCCACCAGAACTATTCTTACCTGTAAACTCCACCAGAACAATTCTATCTTACCTGTAAACTCCACCAGAACAATTCTATCTTACCTGGAAACTCCACCAGAACAATTCTATCTTACCTGTAAACTCCACCAGAACAATTCTATCTTACCTGGAAACTCCACCAGAACTATTCTTACCTGTAAACTCCACCAGAACAATTCTATCTTACCTGGAAACTCCACCAGAACAATTCTATCTTACCTGGAAACTCCACCAGAACAATTCTATCTTACCTGGAAACTCCACCAGAACAATTCTATCTTACCTGGAAACTCCACCAGAACAATTCTATCTTACCTGGAAACTCCACCAGAACAATTCTTACCTGGAAACTCCACCAGAACAATTCTATCTTACCTGGAAACTCCACCAGAACAATTCTATCTTACCTGGAAACTCCACCAGAACAATTCTATCTTACCTGGAAACTCCACCAGAACAATTTTATCTTACCTGGAAACTCCACCAGAACAATTCTATCTTACCTGGAAACTCCACCAGAACAATTCTATCTTACCTGGAAACTCCACCAGAACAATTCTATCTTACCTGGAAACTCCACCAGAACAATTCTATCTTACCTGGAAACTCCACCAGAACAATTCTATCTTACCTGGAAACTCCACCAGAACAATTCTATCTTACCTGGAAACTCCACCAGAACAATTTTATCTTACCTGGAAACTCCACCAGAACAATTCTTACCTGTAAGCTCCACCAGAACAATTTTATCTTACCTGGAAACTCCACCAGAACAATTCTATCTTACCTGGAAACTCCACCAGAACAATTCTTACCTGGAAACTCCACCAGAACAATTTTTACCTGGAAATTCCACCAGAACAATTCTATCTTACCTGGAAACTCCACCAGAACAATTTTATCTTACCTGGAAACTCCACCAGAACAATTCTTACCTGGAAACTCCACCAGAACAATTCTATCTTACCTGGAAACTCCACCAGAACAATTCTTACCTGGAAACTCCACCAGAACAATTCTATCTTACCTGTAAGCTCCACCAGAACAATTTTATCTTACCTGGAAACTCCACCAGAACAATTCTTACCTGTAAGCTCCACCAGAACAATTTTATTCTACCTGGAAACTCCACCAGAACAATTCTTACCTGGAAACTCCACCAGAACAATTTTTACCTGGAAATTCCACCAGAACAATTCTATCTTACCTGGAAACTCCACCAGAACAATTTTATCTTACCTGGAAACTCCACCAGAACAATTCTTACCTGGAAACTCCACCAGAACAATTCTATCTTACCTGGAAACTCCACCAGAACAATTCTATCTTACCTGGAAACTACACCAGAACAATTTTATCTTACCTGGAAACTCCACCAGAACAATTCTTACCTGGAAACTCCACCAGAACAATTCTATCTTACCTGGAAACTCCACCAGTACAATTCTATCTTACCTGGAAACTCCACCAGAACAATTCTTACCTGGAAACTCCACCAGAACACAAGTTGAAAACTGCATCAGACACACCAGGCATATGAGAACAATGTAAATCAGTGGGAGACATCACTTCAGGAACTTGAGGAACTGTTTTACAAGAGAAAAAAAGGTTTTTAAAAGAAAAAGATGTTTGTATCAAAATGCCAACCTTGCTTCATATAACATATTATTCATATATATATATATATATATAATATATATATATATATATATATGCACAGTAGTCTTCGACGCCGTTGGCCAACTTGCCCTATCTTTTCTTTGACCTTAGTGTCGGTGTATTCATCTCTATGACCTTGGTGTATTCAGTTCTATGACCTTGGTGTATTCATCTCTATGCCCAGCCACTTCCCCTTCTCCGGGTAATGCTAGGTACCATTAGAGCTGGGTATGCTCACCACTGAATCAAACCCCGCCAGGCTAGCTAGCAACTGTAGGATCTACCACTCACCCACGCCCAGCAACACGGTGTGTGCAACATGTTATACATTCACAACTAGAGGCTGCGTAATAATAAATGACGTCTTATTAGAACTAACCCCAAAAACAAAGACTATTACTTGAGCAAATAAACGACCATTGCCATACTTGGTGTTGATACCTCCCTTCCCTGTATAACGTGTAATACATACCTAAATTCCCCCCCCCCCCCCACCACAGTAACCATGTCCTATTTTTTTTTATCTCCCCTCACCCTCTCCTATCCCACCGGCAATAATGTTTTAATTCCCTCCCAATGGTCTCTCTGTCCTAGATATCTCTCCCCTCTCCGTCCCCCAGCGGCCATCCTCTCCTCTCCACATCTCAGCCTCCCCCCCCCTCCGCATCCCAACCCATCTAATAGTCATCCTACACCAGCATGTTAACTCATTTATTTCACCTCTGATAAACAAGATAAAAATTTTATTTTAAAAAAATCGATACCACAATAACCACAACATGTGACACATTACAACAAGTATTTCAATTTACTGGATCGATACCACACCTTTATCAAGATACCCGATACCGTGGCGGACCATTTACATCACTTGTTATTGTAATAGACTTTTTTAACTGGGGGGTGATGATGGGGGGACGGGACTACCCCTAAAGGTATGATAAAATATGAAGCCTGCTTGAAATACCTGCCCACGCGCCCTATCTTAACCCCCCCCCCCCCCTATTAATTCATAATAAAACACTTTTGTAATGTTTAGTTTATTTTTAATTATTTTTTTTTCGTCATCATCGCTTGTATTTCTTATACAAACCTCATTCGAGGGGTTATTATCTAGGGGGCTCCGGGCTTATATATAGTTTTTTTTTTTCTAAGGACATATGTCGGGGTGGGTATGTCCTAGGGGTTTATGTCGGGAGGTGGGGGTTATGTCCAGGGGTTTTTGGCCGGGAGCCACGCCTCTGCCCTTGTCAGCAGACCGCTCCCATTTTTTTCAATACCTCTTTATCTGAGCTAGAAGAACGGGCTACTCCATTTAATTTTCCATTCAAAACAAATAAGCTGATTAGGCAACATAAGTTCAACAGCTGGTTTTTTTTTGTGACACGGTCTGCATATTTTTGTGTTCTTTTGTGTTGTGAGCCTCTGGTCCTGCTGGGACATATGCCGCCAGCAGGATCATTTCGTGCAACTTTATTTAGAGGTAGTTTCTCCAACTGTCCCCAGTGGTAACCCATCTTTCTTGTGCTAGTTTCTCCAACTGTCCCCAATGGTAACCCATCTTTCTTGTGCTAGTTTCTCCAACTGTCCCCAATGGTAACCCATCTTTCTTGTGCTAGTTTCTCCAACTGTCCCCAGTGGTAACCCATCTTTCTTGTGCTAGTTTCTCCAACTGTCCCCAATGGTAACCCATCTTTCTTGTGCTAGTTTCTCCAACTGTCCCCAATGGTAACCCATCTTTCTTGCGCTAGTTTCTCCAACTGTCCCCAGTGGTAACCCATCTTTCTTGTGCTAGTTTCTCCAACTGTCCCCAATGGTAACCCATCTTTCTTGTGCTAGTTTCTCCAACTGTCTCCAAATGTAAGACATCTTTATTGTGCTAGTTTCTCCAACTGTCTCCAAATGTAAGACATCTTTATTGTGCTAGTTTCTCCAACTGTCCCCAATGGTAACACATCTTTATTGTGCTAGTTTCTCCAACTGTCCCCAGTGGTAACCCATCTTTATTGTGTTAGTTTCTCCAACTGTCCCCAGTGGTAACCCATCTTTATTGTGCTAGTTTCTCCAACTGTCCCCAGTGGTAGTCCAATTTTTTTGTTTCATTCTCCAAGTTTCTCATCGTTTTATTTTTCCTTAGTGTTTCTATCAATTCTTTCGTCTGTCCAGTAGCGTAGCGAGGGGGGGGGGGGGACATATGTCCCCGGGCGCCGACCTTAGGGGGCGCCAAAATGGGTTGGAAAAATAAATTGAAAGGTTGAGGGGGGTGCAAATCGAAATTTTGAGGGGGGGTGCAAATCGAAAGTTTGTAGGGGGGGGGGGTGTGCAAATCGAAATCTCGAGGGGGGGGGGTGCAAATCGAAAAGTTTGTCCCCGGGCGCCGGGAAGGGGTCGCTACGCCTCTGGGTCTGTCCCTAGACACTGGCCGTCAGGATCTTGACTGTAACGCAAACATGCCTGACACTATCAATACAAGTTCTCATCTACAACATAACAACATATCTTGGCTTGTTCCATGTCATAGTCAAGTTTGTGTGTGTGTGTGTATGTGTGTGTGTGTGTCCCGATGGTGGGGACGTACTTCTCAGTAAATATAAAAACCCCTTCTACTTGCCCCACCCACTATTGAACCAGCCCCAATGTCACAATGACATTTGGCGAAACATCTTGTTTGCGACAAGAGGATTATGGGGAAAAAAATATTTTTAACAATTATTAGTTAAGTGGTTCAAATATTTGTTCAATTGCTGTTCTTTAAAAAAAAAAACGACAAATAGGCAATTATATGAACTAATAAAGAACAAAAAAATTGACATTCTTGTTGGATATTAAAGAGTGCATAAGGCTAATACAAGAGTATTCGTCACGTACGCGAACATTGCTGGGAGGGGGGGGGGGGGGAAGGGGGTAACTAGGTTTAACATATCGATCTAAGGAGTATTGTCAAGTTCCATTTCAATCGGGCTAGTGAGGGTAGAGTTTACCTGTTTCTGTGACCTTGACATACGAAGGGATAGCGTGGTCAGCACTATTATCAGCCGCCTGTATTTTCCCTAACGTGAGTACCAACCAAAGCTAGGTGGGCACATGGACTTTCTACGGACTTGAAACCGGAATCGGGTTAGCAGTCGATTGTTCTACCATTCGACCACATTGTAGTTTAGAAGCCCTTTTTAGCTCGTATTGCTGAACACAATACATCATTCCAACCGTAACCATAAACATGGGCTTAACTTGACATTAATTGTTTTAAAGCTGA